AAAAGAAAAGAAAAGAAAAGAAAAGAAAAGAAAAGAAAAGAAAAGAAAAGAAAAGAAAAGAAAAGAAAAGAAAAGAAAAGAAAAGAAAAGAAAAGAAAAGAAAAGAAAAGAAAAGAAAAGAAAAGAAAAGAAAAGAAAAGAAAAGAAAAGAAAAGAAAAGAAAAGAAAAGAAAAGAAAAGAAAAGAAAAGAAAAGAAAAGAAAAGAAAAGAAAAGAAAAAGAAAAAGAAAAAGAGAAAGGATGATTTTTGAGCCAGCAGATGGCCTAGTGGTTGAGATGCTGGACTCCCACGTGGCTGACCGCAGTTTCAGACTTGGCAGCTTGAAACTCACTCTGGGTGCATGTGCATGCATGCCCACAACCCCAGGAGGAGAAGGGAGGAGAAGGGATCTCAGCATGGCCATTCCCCATGGGGGTGGGGAGGAGGTGATTTCTTGCTCTCTCTCTCTCTCTGTCTCTTTCCGTCTCAAGCCCTATGGCAAAAATCTCTTTTCAAAAAAAAAAAAAAAAAAAAAAAACAAAAAAAGAGATGATCTGTAAAAGTCCTGTAGCAGTATTATTAGCTCACAAAAACCTTATTGCCAGAGCAATTCATTTCTGAGGAATCCAATAAATGGGAACATGTTGCACTCTAAAAGGATTCATTTGTAGCTGATCTCCATTTCTATTGTGTTTTTACTTTATAGAGATAGTTGAACAACATCATCCTTATCTTCCTACACTGTTGCACTACTGACAGTTTTATGGTTTGGTTTCACTAAGGAGGACTAAGGGATCATGTCATAGATTGAAACAAAATATTTGAAATTGCAGTTACACAATATGTGATGAATTATCTTGAAAGTCTTAAAAATATTAACATTTCAATCTATTATATATGAATGCACACATACATTTCTATATACATATCTACATGAATTTATATATAAATATACAAGGGGTCTTCAAAATGTTCATGGACTATGAAAGAAAACTGCGTAGGTTCAATTTTTGCACCAAAATAAACTCATACTAACTTGCTATAATATGTCTCAACAGAATATACTTTGAGGGACTAGGAAAGATAAGACACCAATATGAAAAGAGCTCTACATCAGAGCAAAATCAATTTTGCTCAAATAGAAGCAAGAAGAAAACATTAAATTTATGGTGGAGCTTAGGCAGAACAATGGTGAAATCAAGGATGCTTTATAGAAGTTTATGGAAACAACAACTCAAAAAAATCAGCAGTTTACAAATGGTCAATTCATTTTAAGAAGGAATGAAGTAACACTGGAGATGCCTGCAAGGGCAGACCACTTAGATCAATTACCAGGATAAAGTTAGTCATATTTACGCTTTGAGAAGGCCTGACGATAAACAGCAGAAACAACGCTCAACCCCATAGACATCTCAATTGCTTCAGCTTACACAATTCTAACTGAAAAACAAAAGTTAAGCAAACTTTTTGCTTGGTGGGTGTCCTAGCTGCAGACAAGAGCCAGAGTTTCCAATGGAAATTGTATATAAGTGAGATCAAGTTCTGATGGAAAATCATTAGAAATCCACCTTACAGTCCTGATTTGGCTCTCTCTGACTTGTTTCCTAAAAAATCTTAAAGAATATCCACTCTTCATCTGTTAATAATATTAAAAAGACTATATTGACATGGTTACATTCCCAAGACCCTCAGTTCTTTAGGCATGGACTAAATGGTTGGTATCATTGCTTATAAAATATCTTGAATTTGATAAAGTTTATTTTAAGAAATAAGTTTATATGTTTACTTTTTAATTCATTTTTCTCTAAGCTTTTGAAAGTCGCCATGGACAGAGAGGCGAGGGAATACATATATATGTGTGTGCATTATGTATCCATATATTTTTAAATTTGTGTTTGTGTATATATGTATAAAGTGTGTAATATATGTATATATGTACATATAAATCACATATGTATATATACATAACATAGATATATGTGTATATAAATTACATCTATATACACATATATGTACATATATATAAATTTGTGTTTAAAAGTGCCCCGAAGTAATTTTATATTCACGGGGTACTCTGCCAGGCTTCTCTGCTTTGTGAAGGGCAGCTTTCCTTCTCTTCTGCTTTAGTCCTTGGTGCCAAAGCCTGTCGCAGCTGTTCCTGAAGAACACAGCCTTGGGGATCCCATTTCTGGACGTACAATATAGATAACTGATCACCTCCTAGGTGCCAGGTGGCGCGGATACAAGAGTTAACGTGAACGTAACCTTTGTCTTCACGGAGTTTCGGTGTGTTAAGCTCCACAGACTCTGGAACACACTTGCAGCGTTTCCTAAAGTTCAGACATCAAGGCCCATCATACTAAAGCTAACAAGCCAGGTCAACTAGAGATGACCTCTCCTGTGTCTGTGGGGAATGAAGGAAGGGGAAATGAGCAGAGGAAAAGGAAAGGAGGACAAATAGCGGACAAATGAGAAGGAAAGGAGGCCGGAAGCATATGAGAGACGACATTCAAGTAAAAGGGAAGAGAAAATCCCTGAAGTTCCAGGTCTTCTAACCACGGTCAGAAACGTAGCTCCCCGCGCGCCGCGCGCCCTAGGCACATGCGCTTCCGGCAGCAGCTCCTGGCGCCGCGCGGTGACGTCTCTCAGAGGCGGGACTTCCGGCCTCGGTGAGTCTTCCCGGACCCTAGCAGAGAGCCTACCGCCTTGTAGGCGGACAGGTGAGTTTCTGTGACTTCGTCGGAGGAAGGACAGGTGGGCTGGCTGGCGGGAGCCGGAGTTCTTTGCTCTCTGTGACCCTTCGCAGGTGCTCTGCTGCCTTTCGGTAGGCGGCCTGCAGCGGGGATCAGAAAGACCGCTCCTAGGGTTCAGAGCCATTGGCCTTGGGCTGCTGGCACGGCGGTCGCCCCCATCCTCCCCATTCCTCCAACCCGGATCGCTGGAACGCATCCATTTGTACTGCAGGGTTCCACCCGTGTATGGGGTTTTATGGAGGTCTCCCTGGGGAGTAGGGACTAGATGTTGGGCAGCCAGCCAGGAAGAAGTGGCTAAGAGGGGTCACGTCTGGGCCCGGGGTGTTTTTTGCAGCAGGCATCTAGTGTTGACCCTGCCCTCTATTCACTGTCAGGCCTTAAATGTAAAGGCGCATCTTTGGAGGGTTTTCTTCCCGTGTAAGACAGGGTATTAAGCGGAGGGTAGAATGAGGGGGCAGAAACAATTTTTTTACCCCGTTTTTTTGCTTTACTTTATTCCTGTTTCTTGTACTTTAAAGAGTGACTGGTACTTAGAGCTTCTGTAACTAATGTTATCTGTAATTACGGTAATTGATAAAGTCGTAAATAAGCCTGTTTGTTCAGAAAAGGAAACTTAAGCCACTTGCTTTAGACAGTGGTTACAAGAATGCAGCCAGGACAGGGGTCTCAGGCGAGAAATCTTAAGAGATGAGAATGTTTGGGATCAGCAGGTGGTGTGATGGTTACCTCGCTGGACTTCCATGTAGTCGACCACGGTTCGAGTCCTGGAACCCAGCGACTTAAAGCTCAAGCAAGCTGCTTGTGCATATATGCCCAAAATCCTGAGAGGAGAACAGAGGAGAAGGGGTTGTGGTGTGACCAACCCCTCTAGGGAGTGATTTCTCGGTTTCTATCCTTCGGTGAGTGCATGTGCCCTATAGCAAAAACCTCACTCTAAAAAAAGAGAGATAGGAATGTTTGCTGAAGGGTCACAATATAACAGGTTAAAATGGGAAAGTTGTAATAATATCATTTAATGTAATACTTACAGATATTTAAATTGTTTTGTCAAACAGTGTAGCTTAAAGAAAATAATATTGTAGCTTCCTTTAATCCATCAATGTATATATAAATATAAATAAAGTTAAATAAAATCTACAAAAATGTTTGTGTGATTACAATAAGTTTGATGATTACAATAAGATTGATGACTTAGAGGCAGTGAAGATATTATGAGAAAACGTTGCCTTTTTCAAGTAAACATAATTTAGCCAGCTCATGAATTCAGTATGTGCTTTAGTTTTTATATCGCCTCAGCAGCAGTGACCAATTTTGTGTTTATCATATAAACTTGATTTCTGACCCAGTTGCATGGGTTTGAGAAGAATCTCACTGGAGGTAGTTTGCAGTCATTCAGATAACTAGTATTCAAACAGCTTAATCAGACAAAATGCGAAACTTATTGCTGGTCTTGTGACCGTTTATCAAGCAGAAACATAAAAGACTGCACAGAATCTTGGTGTAACATAAATCAGACTCGTTTGTACTTTGACTTTCTCTGCAGTATTACACAATTGGTCCTTTGGACTCGGTATTGCATAAAATTTCAAAATAACATGTGACTTGAAAAGTAGTAGAATAAGAGACTGTAGAATTATAAAACTAAATTTGTTCTTACAACTGCGAACCTGAAATATAAAAATCCTTGACCTTCAGTTTCTTATTCTACTAATTACACTACCTACTTTGCAGACCTTATTAAAAGGATCCTTTTTCACATGAAAAAGGATGAGACTATACCTTGTAGATGAAAAAAGCTACAAAAAAGAAATTGGTTTTGTTGCAAGTGACAAGATTTGTATCAAGTCAGGATATATGAGGGGACTCCAAATCATCTGTTTAAAATGGCATTTAAGTATAGTTACAGAGCACTGGATTCCCACATTCCCCAGTTTGAGACCTGCACCTGGTGGCTTAAAAATCACGCATTCTCAAAATCACAGGAGAAAGGAGAAAGAGATTGCAGCATGGCCATTCCCTCTGAGGGGGTGATTTCTTACTTTCCCTCTCTCTCTCTCTGGTGAACATATGCAACCTATGGTATAACTTTACAAAAACAACAACAACAACAACTGCAACAACAACAAAAACACATAGTTACCACCCAAACTAGATCTGGCTCTTTCTCGTGGTCAATAAAATGAGAGGCAGGGAGAAGAAGGGAGTTTATTCTGTAACCAGTTACAGTTCCACTTTAAGTGAAACCTGGACATGTTACTTCCATTGAGGTCTTTTGAAAATAGGACACTATTTAAAATATAACTTACTGTATTTTATATTATAAAATTTATATTATTCCACTTTTACTATATTTTATATATCTATGTATTTTCAGTTCTGTAATTATGTTTGGTTTTTACCTTGAACAATATCTTATCCTTCAAGGAGAGCTTTCAGTATCCATGCAATTTCTGAGCAAAATTAATGGCAGTTTTAGATTATTTGTGTATATAAACTAATTATATTACTCAAGGTTTTTAAATATTTTCTACAGTTATTTCTGTAACATGCATGGTAAAATGGGCAGATGTAAATTTTTCTCTCCTTTTGCCAAGCAATGCCTTGTCATAAAACACTAATACAAGAGACATAGGAAAAGAAATTAAGAAAATTTGGACTAGCAGTTGGTGTAATGGCTATGTTGCTGGACTCCCACGTAGTCTACTGCAGTTTGAGTCCCGGATCCAGTGGCTTAAACTCATGCAGGGCATGTGTGTGTACATGCCCAAGATCCTGAGAGGAGAATGGAGAAGGTATTGTGGCATGGCCATCCCCCCTGGGCGGTGATTTCTGGCTTTCTGTTTCTCTCTTTCTGGTAAGCACACGTGCCCTATAGCAAAAAAAACCTCTCCAAAAAAAAAATTAAGAAAACTTAGTTTTAGGTCTTAGTAAATGGGAAATTGAATTCTCATTAGTAGGTACATTTGGTATTTTGAAACTCTAGAAAAAAAGAACCAGGAGTAAAAAATGAAACGAAAAAATCACATTTGGTCATAAAAACTTTTTTTTCAAGCACGGTCTCACTGTCATGTTCTTGCCTCAGCCTCCAGCTGGGACTACAGGCATATGCCACTACTCCTGGCTCCTTTTTGGACAAGGTCTAGCTTGCCTAGGCTTCTTCCATTGAAAGAGATCCAGTTTCCTCCCTTTGAATGTGAGTAGGATGGTGGCTAACATGGAAGTTGGTATGTGACATCTGAGAGGAGGTGATAAGTGATTTCTCACTTCCCCTCTCTCTGGTGAGTTCAGTGGTGACTTCTTGAAATACTTGCTCTTGCAACACAACCACCAGGCTCTGAAAATGCCTAAAGCAGTTCCCATGGAACAGGGTATATGCAAGTGCTTCAGGTCCTCAACCTGTGTGACAGCAGCATCAGTGACCAGGCATGTGGATAAAGGTATTTGCAGATGATTCAGCCCCAGTGGATAAATCACACAGCAGCTGTTGGGTCTTCTCAGCTCAGGTCCTAGACTGTGGATCTAAGACAGGCTATCCTTGCTGTGCTGTTTCTGAATTTCTGACCCACATAATCTGGGCAAAAGTAAATGGTTGTCTGACACCACTAAGTTTAGGATAGTGCATTATATAAGAAGAATAACTTGGATATCCAGTATTTCCTGAGAATAGGTTTGTTTTTTGTGTTTTTTTGTTTTGTTTTTTGAGAGGTTTTTCGCTATAGTGCACATGCCCTCGCCAGACAGACAGAGAGAGACAGAGAGACAGAAAGCGAGAAATCACCCCCCAGGGGGGATGGTCACGCTGCAATCCCTTCTCCTCCATTCTCCTCTCGGGATCTTGGGCATGCACGCACACGCGCCCAGCATGAGTTTTTAAGCCACCGGGTCCGGGACGCGAACCATGGTCGACTACGTGGGAGTCCAGCGACAAAGCCATTCGCTAACTGCTGGTTCCCGAGAATAGGTGTTTTTAAAAACTGTAGTAACTGACCTTGAGCATGTTCCTCGGGAGACCGTTTTTAGAGTCACTGGTTTCCTAGTTGGATAGCCTGGCGGTTAAGGCTTCTATCATTGGGAGTGGCACAACTCCGGTGCTGGCCTATACAGTCTCTAGCAAATCAGTGTCCTCAAATATTTTCTTTGTAGTTTCTCTATCAGTATTTTTAACTCTTCTAGACAGTCCTTATGTCTACTGACCATCTGATACTCTCTTTTGTGAAGGGCTCATTCAAATATTTTGCCTAGTTTTCTGTTGGATTGTCTCTCATTAGTTTTTAGAAGTTCTTTATTCTGAATACACACAGAGAAATACAAACTATAGGTCAAGTCAGTATTACATAGATAGTATTACATACATAAACACACATCTATATTTTTCTATCTATAGAAAGATACTTCCGAACAATAGGCTTGTATCCAGGATACTATATATGCGTGTGTGCATGTGCGTGTGTGCGTATGCATAGCTTCATCCGACTGTTTCTTGCCTTCTCACTCTTACTAGTGTTTTTGATGAATATAAACTTTAGTTCTAATGGTTATAATTCAAACCTTTTATGGTTAATATATATTGTAACTTGTCTAAGTACCCTTTGGCCACTGTAAGCTCATGAACATATATTCTAATGTTACCTTTTGGACATTGTACTGTTCACCTTTCACATTTAGGTCTCTGTATACCTGGTATTATATGTTCTATGTGGTGTAAGATAGGAATCAAAATTCATTGATTTCCCATGTGGACACCCAGCATCATTTGTTTGAAGGACTACCTTTTCTTTACTTTCTTGCAGAGATGCCTTTTTGCTAAATCATGCACATATACGTTTAGCTTTGTTTTTGATTTCATTGTTCTTTTCCCCTCTTTTTAGAAATGTTTTTTTTTTTCAGTGAGAGGAGATAAGAGATGGGATTTAGGAGCAGACCCTCCCAATAGAGCCCCTGTACCATGATCCAACCCTTTCCTCTGCCAGTGTAGATCATAGGCATTGAGTCACACCCAGGATGTGTATAGGTAAAACTGGATGTGAACCCAGGACCTTCCCATGAGGGTGCAGTATATCATGGAGTGTTGTGCTACCACTGCACCACAGTGGCTGGCCCCACTTTCCATGATTTTATTTGTCTGTTTGTCTGTCTTTGTGCTTAGTAATTGAGTATTTTCATTTAGTTGAAAATAAGGTAAAGTTCTTCAACTTTGTCATTGTTCTTCAAAATAGTCTCAACTGTTCTTTACTCTTTGTACTATATATTTTAGAAGTAGCTCTCCAATTTCTATTTTTGAAAAAATGTCAGAAAGGAAAGGGGAAAAGATCTGTTGGTTTTTTGCAAAATCTGAGTTGATTTGGAGTTATTTTATACTGAGTCTTCCAATTTATCAATAGGAGTTATCTCTACGTTATTCAATTTCTCAATAATATCCAGCAAATTATAGCATTCTAGGTAGAGATCTTGTACATCATTTGTTAGCTTTATTTCTAAGTGTTTTATTATTTTGGATGCTGTTTTTAAAATTTTTCATTTTCTAATTGCTTGTTCCTGGTATGAAAATATATTGATTTGTATATATTGAAGTACAAGTCAATGACTGTGTTACAGTCACTTGTTAATTCAAAGAGTATATGTAGATTCTTTTGAATTTTCTATGTATATTATCATGTTTATGAATAATGTCATTTTCTTTCTATCCAATTCAGAGACATTTATTTCTTTTCTGTGTTTTATTGCATTGGCAAAGACCTCAAATACAGTGTAGAATAGAAGTGTTCATAGTAGGCCTCTTTAGCTTAATCCCAAATTCAGGGGGCCTTTCAATATTTAACCAACTCTTAATATCTGCTGTAAGTTTTTACATTGATCTTATATGAAAATCATATATATATATTTTATATTTCGTAAATGAAGATCTCTCCTTTTTAAAGAGTTTTATTCATCACTCTATATTGGACTTTTTTAAGATTATTCTTCCATGAGAAAGAGAGACAGATGGAAAAATAGGCACTCCAACAGGATCTTCCATGCCATGACCCACCCCCAGCTTCAGATAGCCCTGGATCATGGTCATATGCATACCAGGCATGTTTAGGTACATTTCTGGATGTAAAACTTCCCATGTGGGTCAACCTTGTAAAGTGTGACCTTATCATTGCACTACTGTCTGGCCCCTATATTGGATTTTATCAAATATGTTTTTTCAGAATCAGACAGTGGCACAGTGGTGAAAGCTGATGTTCTATAGGGCAATCCCACATGGAAAGAGTCGTAGTTCAAGTTCAGATACCAACCTGAGTATGCTGAGCACATGCTTGCCGATGATCTGCTGCATCAAGACCTGTTGGGATCTGTCTCTTTCACTTGCTTGCTCATAGCAGGAAAAAAAAGGAAACTTAAGTAAATATATATATTTTTTTCTGATTGAGATTATATGATTTTTCTCCTTTATTGTGTTATTTGGTAAGACTGTCTGGACATTGCAACACAGACTTAAAAAAACAAAACACTTTTATCATCTGCAGTTCTCACATAAAGGAGGAATCTTACTGTGTAACCAAAATAAAATGCAGACATTACTTGGATGCTGGAGCTAAATAAGATGTGTTTATAATCCTACTTTGAAATATTTTGTTATTAGTAGGGCCTCATTGTTTTCATTGACTGATTTTATAATTTGTAAACATATTACTAATAATAAATTTTCAATAAATGTCATAAATTTGAACCTCTAAAATTTATGCTGATTAATTTTTTTTCTATTTCAAATACTATCTAGGTTTTTATAAGATTTCATTGGAAAAAACAATCTTAATAAAATTAGAAACCCATTAATACAAGCAAATAAATAGATGTGTATTTGGGAAAATAGGCTTGCCTAAGTTTTACAAATCAGGCTTGCCTAAGTCTTGCTGTTTATCAAAATTGATTTCATGAATGATTACTTACAGGCTGAGGATGAAGGTGGAGTCATCACCCTTGAATGATATATAATCACAACGCATTGTCCTTTGTTAATTGGACACTGACTTAAAGCTGAATTACCTTAGGTTCTTAGGTAAGGCAGAATTTTAATTTTTGTAAATAAAGTTTTGTCTTGTTTCTTTTACATGGCTGTGTGGGACTTAGAAGTCTGAGATGAAGTAAAATAAAACTGCTTTAGAAATGCATATATTCATTCTGTGTTTCTTGTACTTTATTTGAAGTGTTTGAGTATTGCAGTTATGTTTCTGTTTTCCAGTTTTTATAGACTGTGCTTGAGTTTCATATCTGTTTGAATTCTCATTAATTTTGTGGCTAATCAAATCTCTCAAGTTGCCATTTATTTGAAGTTAAGTATAAGCTTGCATATGTGGAATAATTGTGTAGTTAATAACTTTGACCTCTCTTCTGGTGAAAGTATCCAGTTTGGACAAGGTCTTCTCTGACAGAGCTCTAATTTAATATTGTGTACGATAGCTAGGTCTAATTCTCTCCCTAACACATGGAAAATGTCAGAAGACCTTTATAAATATACTGTGTTTTTGTAATGGTTTTGAAAACTGGACTACAGTGACATTCATTAGTGAACTAAAATTCCATCAGAAAATGTGAAATGATATTTTATTTAATCATTGGTCAATCTATTTTTAATGGAGGAGGGTCCCCACTTTTTAAGGAATGTTTTTTTTCTTTTCTAACTGTTCTTATTTAGGAAAAGTAGTTTTAAACTTTTGGTTAAACATGGAGGTTAAAATATATATTATCTTCCTCCCTAAATTCACTACCTGGACAGGAAAAGTAATAAACACATAAGCAAAGAGAATGTAAGAGGTGACAACGTCAGACTAGGGGACATTTTAGAAATGGTAAGGTACAAGGACTGAATTGTAAACAGCTGAGCAGGTCAATGCTCATGGAAAATAATATTCAATGATAATCTTGGATTAAAATTTGTTTACTCATTCCCTAAGTTTGAGTCGTATATATCATTTTTAATGTCTGTATAATGATTTATCGTAATTTACTTGACTTTTGCTCCATTAGTGACCATTTAGCTTCTTCAGATTTTCACTGTTAGAAATAGCATTCCACGCATCAGTCTTATAAAATGTTTTAGAGTATTACTTTTTTTTTTCGAATTGTTTTTTTAAAATGGCCAATTGAAAGTTTATGCCTTTTTTGTTTTTTGATTCGTGCTGCCATATTGCATTCCAGAGGCTGTTTTCATTACTGCCATCACGTGTGGAATTTACTGTTTCACTGCATCCTAGCCAGTATAAGATCTTCAGTCTGGAGAGGGACAGATGCTCCTTCCAGTGAATGCCCTGAACATGGTTCTGTGGGAGAACGTGACATGAGGAACAGGTTTTACCAGGCAGAGCTTACCTGACTACCTTTCCCACAGTCGCCTTATGATAAAGACGAGTGCTGCATGTTTACAGAGAGATGCCCTTGAGTTGGGGTGCACAAGGCTTCATGTATGAGGCAGAATTGGAACTGAGTCTAAGGAGAGATTTATAGAGAAAAGTCTGCATAAGTATATGAGGGTTATCTCAGTCTGGATCAAATCAGGAAGCAGAGTCACACAGAAATTTAAAGGTTTAGTCTATCACAAAGAATTGCCAAGTGTCCATAGGGAGAAAAAAATGATAAAGCTACCGTGTAGAGAGGACTCTAAATAGTACCCTAGGCTTGAGGGAAACGTATTCAAGGAAAGACAATTAAAAAGATGGTTCAGACCTCATTGAAGATGTGGTTACAGCCTACTGGTTGGTAACATGCTGGGTTGCCTGGGCCAGAGCTGGTGCAGGCACTGTCAGCAAGTGAGCCAAGAACAGTGGGAGGGCTGGGAGCAGGATGTTTCCAGGCTGTTCTGTGGAACAAGAGACAGTGACTGACGGGGCCGGCAGGTGGCGTGGTGGTTAGGGGTGTTGTACTCCCACATGGCTGGCTGTGGTTTGAGTTCCAGCCCTGGCAGCTTGCTTTCTCTCTCTCTCTGTCTTTCTCTCTCTCGCTCTCTGTCCCTCTCTGGTCAAATTTAAAAAGTAAATGAATAAATAAAGTTAAATTTTAAAATTCTTTTAGAGAAAAAAAAAAAAGATAGTGACTGGCTGGTGTTCTGGAAAGTCTGGCGGGGTTTCTACCCAAAGTGGGCTGATGAGTGATTGTGGGGAGTAGCCACCTGGTCTGGGGCTCCTGGCTTCAATGCTGCTACTGGCTGAGTAGAGAGCTGAAGAAGGAAAGCACACAGCAGCCAGCCGCATGCTGGAGAACCCTGTGGCCTGTAACACCTAGCACTAGAACTGTGTTTTTCAACCTTGGCATTATTAACCTTTTGGGTTGGATAGTTATTTCTTGTGGGGGGCTGTCCTAGGAAGTATAGGATGTATAACAGCATCCTTGGCCTCTAGTCACTCTATGCCAGTAGTTCTCCCAGCCTGTGACAATGAAAAATAGCTCCAGATACTGCCATATACCCCCTGGGGACAAAAATTGTCTGTAGTCACAAACCACTGTACTAGAGAAATCTCACAGCCTGAGCGGCAGAGGGATAAAGATGTAAATTTTCTAGAAACCTGGTGAGAAAATCTTTTCTCCTGCAGCCTCTCCCCAGTGCACTTCTGACAGAGTGTAATGTCATGTCAGCTGGCAAAGGAAAAATATCTTAAAGACCTGGATCCATCTTCCCAGAGAAGGCAATGAAAGATGAGTGAGAAGCTGAAAGGCAGTAAACTGGTGACTTGGGGCCGGGGGAGATCTGCAAGTGGTTAGGAAGGAAATATTAGCCAAACTATAGGAACAGAAAAGCATGAGGACACTAAGGAAATGCAGGGACGAGACAGCCTGGAGTGAAAGGTCCTTGTAAAGTGTTAAGAGGGGAAAAAGATGGCACTGAAAGTCTTGACTTTGGGAGGCTTTAAGTGGATAGATGATAGTTGAAGAGGAAAGTAGAAAGACCTGTTGAAGAATTGAGTCCTGGTGCTGTCAAAAGGGGAAGACAGAGTCAGAGATGGGGGGCAGCGGTGATATAAATAATTTGGCCTAAGCTTTTATACAATACCTAGATTATTCGGGAAATTGCGATGTGATCTCATATCCTGTGTTTTTCCATCTACCCATTTCATAATTTAATCATGTAATGCTCTGGTAATATGTAAAATATACTTACAGAGTTGTGGACAGGAGAGGCTTAGTATTGGGTCACTGGGAAAGTGACTTTCCCAACAACCCAACTGAAGGGGACGAAAGGCCATGAAGGAGTCCACTGTCTCTCTTACCACTCTGTGACTATAACCTCTGCCCTTTTTCATCAGCCTAAGGGCAGAGGTACCTGTCTCAATCAGCAGCACAGAGCTATAGGAGGATTCTAGAAGGAAAGGAGAAGTTACCTGTGGTTATTGATTTAGACTGGAGACAGTGATTGTGGAGAAGGCTAATCGGGTTTTGCTTCAAATCCCCCTAGAGATTTTTCTAAGATGCTGGGCCAGCAGGTGGCATGGTGGTTAAAGTGTTGGAATTCCCACATGGCTGGCCATGGTTTGAGTCCCAGACCTGGAGGCTTTCTCTCTCTCTCTCTCTCTCTCTCTCTGTCTTTCTCTGGCAAAACTCATGTGAAAAATAATATTAATGATAATAATAAATAAATAATTCTTTAAAAGAATATTTTTGTAAGATGTGTCTCCCTATCTCGGATGACTGTGTGGTTTGTTTTAGTTTGTCTAGCAATCCTATCATCCAGAACAGCTGACTTGTCTGACATCTCCGACGTCCTTGTAGCGCATCCCTCTAGGTATATTAAAATTTACGTTTTTTATTCTACAGTATTGCGTATGGCTCAAGCTTTAATATTTTACTGACTCTTAGTATTTCTTTTCTCTCCTTATTTAGAAATGGACTCAAAAGTCAAGGAAGAAATCCCTGTACATGAGGAATTTATTTTGTGTGGTGGAGTCGAGACCCAGGTTCTGAAATGTGGGCCTTGGACTGACCTCAGGAGTGATCAAGGTGTCAACAGGCCTAAGCTACTTATTTTCATTATTCCTGGTACGTATAAAAGTCTGGATGAGCAGACTTTATACAGATACTTACGACTATTTCTGGTTTTGAAAGTCCTATTACAAGTTGGAGAGAATTGGGTAACTATAGAAAGCCGTATGGAAAAAATAAGATAATTTGGCCCCGTTGATAGCAACCACTCTTAATGCTTTGGTGGCTGGACTTTTTGATTTTCTTCTATGCATTTATATTTAGTTGTCTGTGATATATGTATCTTTTGGTTACAATTAGAAGTATACCATATAAGTAGTTTTATAATTTGCTTTTTTGAAATTTCTCAATATTTAAAGTATTTAGAACTATCTCAATATTTTTGACAGTTTTCTAAACTCTTTTTCACCTCATTTAAAGGTGATTATATATTTACTAGAAAACATTTATTCAGGCCAGACTGTGACATGATCGTTAAAACGGCTGTATCTCACATAGCCAGCTGCATGGTTCAAGTCCCAGACTGGGTGGCTTGAAAAACACACCGAGCACATGTGCGTGCATGCCCAAAATCCCAAGAGGAGAGAGAAATGGAGGAGAAGAGATTTCAGCATGACCATTCCCCGTGGGAGGGAGACAGGACACTTTCTCACTCTCTCTCTCTGGCAAGTACATGTACCTTCTGCCAAATGAAAAAGAAACAAAACATCTATTCTAAAGTTGGGCGGCTTGGTCACTTGTGTCTTCTGCCAAAAGTCAATAGAATGTTAGAAATAATGCTTGATTTATTGCAGGTATTTGAAGTGCTTTTTAAATTCTCAGTTGAACACAGGTATTAACAATCCATTAGAGGTTCTTAATTATAAACTGCCACTTTGAAACCTTTACCCACTTTTCAATTGTTTTATCAATATTTTTCTTACTGATTTCTAATTCTCCTATGACTAGACATCTATTTCTGTATTCTCTGCCTCTCCATGTGTTCTTCATGATTTTTAACAGCTGCAGTTTTATGATACTTTTATGTATCTTTAGAACTTATCCTTGCTCACATTTGTTCCTTTCTAGAAATACTTTTGGGGTTCTCTTCTTCTGGCCTCAGAATTTTTCTTTTCTTTTTCTTTCACTTGGCTTTGTTAGGAGAAAAGAAAAAGTTGATATGATCTGGAAAATCAGCTTTTATAATTCCAGTAGGTACCCCAGAAGCAGCATTTCCAGCGCTGGTGTCCTCCTCTGGCATTTAGCCCACTTTTCGAAGTGAAATGCTTACATTGCTGTTTCTTGAGTTTTCAATATTAGATATTATTGGCTTCCTCCATGAAAAATGAGGCTTCGTTTTCTTTCTTAAAAAAGTAATTGATTAATTAATTTCATCAGAGAGAGAGAGAGAGAGAAAGAGATTGGTATCCAGACAGGATCTTGCTATAACCTACTCCCAGACCCCTAAACAGCCAGGGTCACAGATGTGCTCAGGTGCACTGGTGCATTTAAAGTTGACCTGGAATCAGAATCCAGGCCTCCCATGTGGCTCCAGCAGTTCGATCTGCACCATCCGTTCCTCATACACGATCATACACCTTTCCTTTCCAGTCTTTTTATTATTGCAGGTTTTCATTCAGTGCTTCAATTGTTGTGACTTCTTATCAATTATATTATGATTGTATATTTTTTTCTTATGCAGTTTTATTTATTTTCTCTTGGCTAAAGCTTGTCTGTCTTCAATTTTTTGCTTAGTTTTCTATGCTTTGATCACTCATTTGTTTTGTGTGGTGGAGTCAAGACCCATATTCTGAAATGTGGGCCTTGGACTGACCTCAGGAGTGATCAAGGTGTCAACAGGCCTAAGCTACTTATTTCGTTCTAAAGTTATCCTCTAGAAGTGAAAAACATATTTTCAGTTTATTTGAGTGATCAGTTAGTCACCCCTGACCCCCACCCTCCAATCACCACCAGAGCTATCCCTCCAGAACATTCTGTTTTTCTGACTCTGATGTGAACTGACTGCTCCCTAGGCTGGCTGCACAACTGCCATCCTGGGGATTCCTACCCCTAGCTCCTTATCAGCTCCCCTCTTTCCTGGATCCCATCTTTCCTATGGTCTAGATTTATTCCCTTCTTTTTGGTAGAGTACTTCTTGTAGTGGTTCCTGAGATTAGGTGCAAGGGAATTAATCTTATTGATCTTTTATAGATACAGTATGTCAGACAATGTCTTAGATTGCTATGTTGGAAATAATTTTTTCTTATAATTTGGAAGTCAGTAATCATTGTTTTCCAGGGCCCCACACTCCTTATGGGAAGTCTTAGTATTGTTCTCATTTCTAATCTTTTGCATGTGAAGCTCACAACCCCACAGCCCACACTTTGGAGACCATTCTTTGTTCTAAGATTCTGAAATTCTACAGTGAAATAGTTTGATGTGGGTGTTTTTCATGTATAGTACTTGGGTTTTGATAGGCTCTTTAAAACCAGAAACTCATATACTTCAATTTTAAGAGCTCTATTTTCTCTCATTTTTTTTCCTTTAATTACCTCCACTTCATGAATGCAACATCATTTTGGCTACTTGCATTTGCTAAGAGTTTTCACTATGCTGCATTTTCTGTTTTGTTTTGTTTTTTTTTTAAGAGGTTTTTGCTATAGGGCACGTGTCCTCGTCAGACAGACAGAGAGAGACAGAGAGACAGAAAGCGAGAAATCACCCCCCAGGGGAATGGCCACGCCACAATCCCTTCTCTTCCACTCTCCTCTCGGGATCTTGGGTAGGCATGCACACGCGCCTGGTGTAAGTTTTAAGCCACCGGGTCCGGGACACAAACCACGGTCAACTACATGGGAGTCCAGCGACATAGCCATTATGCTAACTGCTGGTCCCGCATTTTCTGTTTTCATTAGTGTTTATTTTTCTTCTGATGTCTAATTATCCTTACCTACCCATCATTCTTAAGAAGACACAAAAAACCGATTGGAAGCTTTACATCCAGGGTTGAGACTTGTCCACAAGTGTGTCTAGGTGACCAGCCATCCTGGTCTAGGACTAAGGGCCTTTCCAGAACACATAATTATCTGTACAAAAGCCACAGCAGCCCCAGGCAAAGCAAGATGGTTGCTCACAGCAGGTGAGCCTCACCCTAAGTGACTGGCTAGAGCCCAGCATTTCATTTAGGTGGGGATTTCCAACTTTGAGTATCGGTAACTCGTTCTTCACATTGTTCAGTTTTCCCAGGAAGGAATCTTCTAGTCTCTTGTTGAAAAATGGAAACCTGTCTGCAAGTATTCAGAGCTCAACAGCGAAGAGGAGGTTGGAAATTTCCATTTTAGCTGCACCTACTCTGACCTCTTCTCAGTGTGGTACTTCCATTTTCAGCTAGGCTAAGTTTCCTGATCTAGATCTCTTTTTTTGGTTTAAACTCTTCTGGGAATAAACTTTTATTCTTCTGTCAGAACGTAACAGTCTTTTTGGAGATCAGTCTGACAGCATCTATTACAGTTAAAAACACATTTACGTTGCCAGTAGTGAAGGAGAATTTGAAATTAGGCATGGCATGTGTGATAGGATGGGGCAGAACCTTGCAGGGATAGGCTAGGTAGAGAAAGTAGTAGAAAACTTGTCTTGGACTGGATAAGGCATGTCTTTCTGAGGCTGGAAGGAAGGGGCGAAGTTAGTTACTGTAATGGAGAAGTGTGAAGGCTTAACAGAGAGAAGTGAAGTAGTTCCAGACTTCTGACTCCTGTTTTCTCTACTAAGAATTAAAGTCACTGGAGCCAGTAGTTGATGTAATGGTTAAGTCGCTGGACTCCCATGTGGCTGACTGCAGTTTGAATCTGCTGGCCTGATGACATGAAAACCACACTGGTCCTGTGTGCATGTGTGCCCATGATCCAGAAGGGAGAATGGAGAAGAAGGGATCACGGCAAGGCCATCCCTGCCCAGGGTGATTTCTCACGTTTCTTCTCACTGTCTCTGTTTCTCTGGTGAGTGTATGCATCATAAGGCAAAAGTCTCTTGGAAAAAAAAAGAAGAAAAAAGAAAAGAACTAAGGTCATGAGGGAGCAGGTGATTAAGGGGCTGGATTCCGACATGGCCAACATCAGTTTGAATCCCAGACCCAACAGCTTAAAAATTATAATTGATTGATAGATAGATAGATAGATATTTTAAAAAAATAATAATAATAAAAATAATTAAGGTCATGGGGCAGCCCTGTAGTGAAGTGGTTAGGCACTGCATATAGGAACCTGAATCCCACATGGCTGACTGCAGTTCAAATCCTAGCCCTGGTGACCTGAAAAACCCACCAAGCATATGTGCATGCATGCCCCAAATCCTGACAAGATGGAGAAATGGGGAAGAAAGGATCACAGCATGACCATCCCCAATGGGGGCAGAGGGTGTGTTCTCTGTCTCCCTCCTCTCTCCCATGCACTTGTGCACATATACCTGGCGGTTTTACAAAAGAAGAAGAATTAGGGTCGATTGTTGAAAGTGAGAGTAGTGGAGGATGTGAAAGAGCCTTAAGGAAGCATCAGCATTTCGAACCACAGGTATACAGGATGGAAGGAGCCGTCCACCAAAAACAAGTAGGGGAGTTTTAGAGCAGCTCTGTAATTTAACAGCAGGTAGGTTGAGAGTGAGGTCTGAAAGCACAGAAGATTGAAAACAACTATCAGAGTTAGGGTGCTCTGAGTGTTAACCATTTCTGGCTGATGAAAAGATCTAGGCCTGCAGTTCTCAAAGCTGGTGTCAGGACCAGGAGTACCACCTGAGAACTTGTTAGAAATGCCTGTTCTGGGGACTTACCTCTTATTTTCAGAACCAGAAAGTCTGACAGTTGGGCAGTCTGTTACAACAAGCCTTGTAAGGGACTCTGATATATATTGCCAGATCTGGGATGTGGACAGAAATTCTTGCTTCAGTTTATGGTAGGTGAAGTTCTTTGGATTTGATCATGGTAATGAAGTAAGGGACAAAGGTGTTGATTCACTTAATCCATCTAGATTTCGAAATCTAAGGCATGGCATGGCAAGTGAAACTTAATTAAGAGTCAAAGTTTTCAG